TGTAGGCAATTTATTGCACCGGGCCCATGTTTTAATCTGACAAACAATCAAAGTAACTTCTTGTACTCGTGTTGTTGAACAACCAATTTGTATTCAAGATTGTTCGCTTTATTTTCAACCCAATCATAAAAATAAATAGAACCATATATCGGGTTGTTCTGTCTATTTTTCCCTTCCCATATTAGGGAAGCCACAAGAGTAGCCCTCATTGAATGATATGTCTTCTGAAATTGCTTTTCAATTATAGTGGTTCCGAATGCGTCAACACAAATCAAAATTTTTGGGGGCCATTTTTCAGGGAAATAGTCCGTAAATGGACAATTCTCAACACTTTTTTTTTTTTTTTTTGAATTTGTAAACTGCACATAGAGGTAGAGGTGGAGGAGCAGGAGCAGGTGCAACCATTGGGTACCTGTAAAGGGAACATGAAAATTAAGCCTGAAAAATATATTCATACATGTTGAATGTAAACTGGAAATATATTCCTTTGTGACTATAATTATAACGTTTGGATAAGGTTTTCATCTATCATCTTACTCTAGAATATAGTATTCTGTTTAAACTGTAATATGTTATTACACATTTGTTTACTACCATATATAATTATGTATACATATATATTATTGAATAATTATGTTTAATCATTAAAGGAAGGAAACAAATACTACCCTTACAGCCCTGTGCCCGATGTCTGTCAAGCCGTCTGATTCGCCCCATATGGGCTTGGCTAAGTGTGAGAAGTTTGTCCATGCGTTTGATTTGTTGCATATGGGTGTGGGTAAATGTGTGAAGTTTGCGTACTCGTCTGATTTGTTGCATATGTATATGAGCCTGTGTGAGTCTGGCGAGGTAGCCCATAGCCCAGCAATTGGAAATGTCCTTGTCCCATCTGACCATGTCTCACTCGATTCGTTGTATATGAGACTGGCTTGTGGTAAACATTTGCTTATGCTGATTCATTGCATATGGAACTGCCCCGTGGTAAACATTTGATTCATTGTACATGGAATTGTCCCAGTGGTAAACATTTTTTCTTGTAGGCAGTTTATCGCACCGGGCCCATGTTTTAATCTGACAAACAATCGAAGTAACATCTTGTACTCGTGTTGTTGAACAACCAATTTGTATTCAAGATTGTTTGCTCTATTTTCAACCCGATCATTAAAATACATTGAACCATATATCGGGTTGTTCTATTTATTTTTCCCTTTCCATACTAGAGAAGCCACAAAAGCAGCCCTCATTTATTGATGTGTCTCCTGAAGTTGCTTTTCAACTATAGTGATTCCAAATGCGTCAAACATAGTTCGGAATTTCTGGGGTCGTTTTCAGGGAAATAGTCTATAAATGGACAATTCTTAACACATGCTTTTTTAATTTTGAATTTGTAAACTACACATCGAGGTGGAGGTGGAGGTGGAGGAGCAGGAACAGGTGCATTGGGCACCTGTAAATGAAATATAAAAATTGAGCCTGGAAAATATATTCCTACATGTTGAATGTAAACTGGAAATATATTCCTTTGTGTCTATAATTGTAAGGTTTGGATAAGGTTTTCTTCTATCATCTTGCTCTAGAATTTAGAACTATGTTTAATTTGAAAAATATTATTACATATTTGTTTACTACTACGTATATACATTTCTTACCGTATATAATTATGTATACATATATATTATCGAATAATTATGTTTAATCATTGAAGCTAGGAAACAAATGCTGCCCCTTCAATCTTGTTTCAGATGTCTGTCCAGCTGTCTGATTCGCCACATATGGGCCTAGATAAGCTTCAGAAGTTTGTCCACCCATCTGATTCACCCCATATGGGCTTGGGTAAGTTTAAGAGGTTTGCCCATGCGTTTGATTTGCTGCATATGGGCGTGGGTGAGTGTGTGAGGTTTGCCCATTCGTCTGATTTGCTGCATATGCATATGAGCCTAAGTCTGGCCAGGCAGCCCATAGCCCGACAAGTGGAAATGTCCTTGCCCCACCAGATTCGTTGTATATGGGACTGGCTTGTGGTAAACATTTGCTTTTGCTAATTCATTGCATATAGAACTGCCCTATGGTAAATATCTGATTCATTGTATATGGAACTGTCCCAGTGGTAAACATTTATTCTTGCAGGCAGTTCATCACATCGGGTCCATGTTTTAATTCGACAAACAATCGAAATAACTTCCTTGTACTCGTGTTATTGGACAACCAATTTGTATTCAAGATTGTTCGCTTTCTTTTCAACTCGATTATAAAAATACATGGAACTATATATCGAGTTGTTTTGTCTATTTTTCCCTTCCCATACTAGGGAAGCCATAAGAGCAACCCTCATTGATTGATGTTTCTTCTGAAGTTGTTTTTCAACTATACTGGCTCCGAATGCGTCAAACACAGCTAGGAATTTTCTAGAGGTCGTTTTCAGGAAAATAGTCCGTAAATGGACAATTCTCAACACATGTTTTTTTCTTTCTGAATTTGCAAACTGCACATTGAGGTGGAGGCATCTAAACTCATAAAGCCCCACTCTGTTTGGAACCAAATCCTTTTGGATTTGGACAAGGAATTGAAATTGGATTGGATTTGAAATAAAATCCCATTTATGTGTTTGGTTTTTATTTTTTGGGAAAAGAAATTTGAAAGGAAGATAATTGCTTTTTTACTTTAGAAGTAGGATGGGATTTGAAATGAAAATAATTTTAATACCATATTTGCCCTTATTAAAATAATTAATACAATATGTGTTTTAAAATATAATTACATAGAACAAATTTTAAAATATAAATAAGAGTATGAGTGTTTGTTCCACACCAAGATATATATTTTTTAATTATTCAAGAATAAGTATTAAAATATATATAAGAGAAGTAAAAATATAATATTTAGTCATTTAATCTATAATGTGTAAATATAAATTTTGTTGCACAAGAGAACATACTTTTGTTTGTCATTCTTTCTCATGAAATTTTGTTTCTCAATATATCCACAAATGGATCCAATGACTTGACAATTGGAAAGATTTGTACAATTTATACATTTTTTCATCACTTTGTGAAAAATCATTAAGTATGAATAAATCAAAAAGCAATATTTATTTATTTATTTATTTTTTACCGATACACAACGAAAATATTTTGCTGTGAATGAACAAGATATTGAGAAATTATCCATACGTAAGATGATAATTATTATTATTATTTTTTCACAAATCATAATTATTGATATGGTTCATTTGAAAACAAGAATAGGTACAAAATACAACAAGAAAAATGATCGTTGCACCAATTAGTAATTAGACCTTACATTTTTAATTGATCATTTATGCAACAAATAAGGAAGTGGGGTTCTCCATTTAGTGTATTTAGCATAAATGACCAATAAAAAACTATTCAGTTAGATAATTCACTACAAGTTTTTTGTGTGAATATTAGTAATCAGACAACAATAATGATTGATCAATTTGCACAAAGAAGGTTGAAATATTGGAGTAAACCAAATCCCCCCCCAAAAAAAGTCTTTTATTGTGGAAAAAATCAGTTTCCATCTTTCACTAAGTCACATAAAGTAGGAGTGAGAGCGAGAGCAAATTCGAAAACGGGAGCGTGAAAGCGGTAAAATTAAGTCATAAGCAGTGAGGATTTGAACGAGAGCGCGTGCGCGGAGCGTGAGAGCGGGAGCACGCTCGGAGTATGAGAGCGACACCTATTAAGAAAAATTGTGTGACTTATTTGTCTTTCAGCGAGAAAAATCACTAATATAAATACGTGAAAAAGATATTTAAATGGAATTAGTTATATACGTATATATTTACAGACTTATTTTACCCCTCACATTTAAATGGAATTAGTTATGTACGTATATATTTACAGACTTATTTTACCCCTCACATATATATATTGCGGCATTAAACTAGCTTTGGCCCTTGAAATAATAGTGAGTTGGACCCTTCTATTCTGACAAATCTGTAGGGACTTGATGGCACTACATAAGCTTTATATGAGGCAGAGTTGGTGGAATCAAAAGTCTTGGATTGGGCTAAAAATGGAGCTATATTTCCTTCCATTGTGGAATTAGAGAAATATTCTGGTCTGATGAAAAATGCAGCCCACAGTCTTGTTTTATGGGTCATCAATTCTAATGTCAATGGTTCTTTTTCCCATCTAATCTCTACCACATTCACATGTAAATGAGATGGATATAGATTGATTATCAATTACTGATGATATTAACCTTTCAAAAAAAAAGAAAAAAAGAAAAAGAAAGTGTAATTAGGACTCTGTTTGTTTCAACATAATATATATATATATATATATATATATATATATATATTAGGTAGAATGAATATATATATTTTATTTTTATTTTTTAGTGTTTGACAAAGATATAGGTCGAGTTATTTTTATTAAGTTTTAATATATTTTTTTCATAAATATTTTACGACAATCTAACATCAGAAAATAAAAAAATAATTTTTAAATATTTTACATCAAAATAAAGGAAGCCTAGATTACTAATATCATTTTTCTTAATATATATATTTGCTTAATAATTTTAATTACAAACATACATGGATATATAAAATCTGCTCCATCACATAATATTTTTAATAAAAAATGTATCAAAAAGCAAAGAGCTATGATAGAATATCTGAAAATGGGACAACTCATAAAAAGGAGTTTAAAAGCAGCACTAGATTGTTATTTTTTATAGAGAAAATAGTACACTATCATTTTCACCTAAACTCTGGTTTGTCAAAAAGGTTAGGTAAGGATTAAAATCACAAAATGTGATGTTGGGTAGGGATATATATATATATATATATATATTTTTTATCTCGTAAAGGAAGGTCACGTGTTGGAATGATATTTTAATTTTCTTTTTCTTTACTTATGGGGAAAACAATTACTCCGTATGTTTAAATTTAATCATTAAAATATATTTTTTTCTACAATAAAAACCGGACATCACGGATCTCGTTGGGCGGGTCAAGTATCAGTAGTTCATACGCGACCCGGTCAGATTTCGCGTTCTCTTCGATAATTCAAACGGCGGCGTTGAGGCGAATCAAATCGCTCGCTCACCAAAGAGAAGACCAGAAAACCCAGAAGAAGAAGAAAATGGCGGCGGCGAAGATCGCACCGTCGATGCTGTCGTCTGACTTCGCCAATTTGGCCTCAGAAGCCGGTCGTATGCTCCAGTGCGGCGCCGATTGGCTCCACATGGACATCATGGTATGCCTCTTCTTAGTGTTTGTCTATCCATTTATATATACACAATAGATTCATATATGTTCTTATGTCCTTTTGTATTTCTGATTTTGCGAGTAGCGAGCTGTCTCTTTGTTGCTTAAGTCTTGATTCCATGGATTGAATATATTGAATGTCTAGTTTTAACATTGTGTTCATTAAAAATTTAAATTTCTATAATATTTTCATGCTAAAAAGTTCTGATTTTTAACGTCACATGATCATCATTAATTGCTATCCACTGAGTGCCCTAATCCACCTGAGTGGAGTGGGTTCACGGTATTGCCTTGCGTTGGCAGATTTACAGACTCGGACCAAATTCATTGCCAATCTGCATATTGCATGATCTGTATATTGGAAGCTCTTGGGGCAAGGATTCTAAAGGATTAATACAATATACTTGGTTTATATCAGGATTTTGACCAAGTTAAAAGACTCATTTATACTTCTTTCTGTCAAGTTGCAACCGACGTTAAATAACTCCTCCATAAAGAAAGCTATCAATTTGGGTTCTGGGAGCTAGATTGGTTGGGATCAATTTTCGGCATTGTTTGCACGAAATGGTTATCCTGAAACCAAGTAATGGCTCATAATTTAGTTGTATATGATCATCATCATCATTATTGCCTTATGCTATGTTTGGGAATACCGAATTGACACATTGGATCTGGAATTGGAGGAAATTTAGTTCAAATAGTATGCTGAATTCCCTCCAATACCAATACCAGTTCCAAGGCGCCGATTTGGTGCTCCCAAACACAACATTAATATCATATGAATGCGGTTGACCAATTTAATTGTATAAGATGTTTTGAGGAATTTCTGAAAATTTTAAATCCCCAAGTGTGTGCTTGCTTAGTTAAACTATGCTAGTGATGGTATTAGTAGTTAAACTCAACCCAAGATATAAAACTCTCAGTCCCAGCAACCCAACCACCAGGTGGAGCTTATCTTGTTTAGTTTGGGTTATATGATATTATTGGTCAAATTAAGCTTGTGTTAAGTTCAGTTTGGGTCATATTAGACTCGAGCTATCAATATTTTGGTAATTATATTGATAATAGTGATATAGGGTGTACTAAGATTTGGTTCAGGTTGCTTAGCACCTCTATTCAAGCCCAACCGAGTTGAGGTGTGGCTGAAGCACTTATAACTCAAGTCCAACCCAAGCACCAAAAAGAGTTGCCCAAAATTCGTACAAGAACCCCATTTGGCTAATGTTGGATTCAGGTTCATCTATCTCAGTATCCACTCTATATGGTATCTAGTGTTTAGGGTCTTAATGATCCACATGAATAGAGTACTATGTTCCTCCTTTAGCTGCCTTTTTTCATTTGCAAATTGAGATTTTATATGATAGATTTGCATTTGTTATTATTTATTCCATTGCTGGCTATTATTCTACACTAAATTCTTATGGCTACTGCTATATGTTAGTCATTTAAAAAACTAATTGATTTTTTTATGTTGGTTTATATGCAGGATGGGTAGGTTGGACACTCATCTACCATATTATCTTTGCCCCTGTTGTTATGGGATATCAGTTACTTATTTATGCTATTTACCTATATGTTGCTCTAAATCATGGATTGTGGGTTGTTTGCATTTGTATTCAATTTCATTTCTATAGGCACTTTGTCCCAAATCTTACAATTGGTGCTCCAGTCATTCAGAGTCTGAGAAAACACACCAAGTAATATCTTCTTATTATTCCTCAAGTTCCAAATTTTAAACATCAATGTTACTGCCATTATAATGTTTTTAATGTAAAGAAGAAGTATCAATTTACTTCTCTTCCAGGGCATATTTGGACTGTCACCTTATGGTCACGAATCCGGTTGATTATGTGGAAGCGTTTGGAAAAGCTGGTGCTTCAGGTTTTACATTTCACGTTGAGGTATCCAAAGGTGGGCAATGATGTCCAGATTGTTTTTCACTGTTTTGTTTAGCATCAGTTGCATTGTATTAAGTCTGTTTTTATTTTTTTTTAATTTTTTTTTTTTTAATGATGGAAGAGTAACATGGTACCTTTTACAGATAACTGGCAAGAACTTGTTCAACAAATTAAGTCAAAGGGCATGAGGCCTGGTGTGGCATTAAAGCCTGGAACACCCATTGAGGAAGTGTATCCACTGGTAAAAAATTTCTCCTTTTCTCAATTTTCAAGTTCTTTAATCTTCTGCTGCCTTGTACTTTCGATTGGAATGAAGTGAAATCATGATGCCATAAGTTGTCAAAGTCGAGATTGATTGGAAATTGTGTTATTGAGTAGAAGTAAAATGCTCCTTTAATTCAATTTATTGGAATAGGATACTTCTTTAACTCACCCAAAATAAAAAAGCTTCTCTAGAGAATCATTGCAATTAGTAATAATTGTTGCATAGGTTGAAGGTGAAAATCCTGTGGAAATGGTTCTTGTTATGACTGTGGAACCTGGATTTGGTGGACAAAAGTTTATGCCAGAAACAATGGATAAGGTGCATGAACTCTTCTTCTGCATTCACATTGTTATTATTTTGTTGTTATGCCCTTGACCTGTCAATTTGGATTCAGGTACGCGCACTGAGGAAGAAGTACCCATCACTTGATATAGAGGCAAGTCTATATCGTATCTTAATGCTTTAATTTTGTATACATGTGATTCATGTTGTATGCACTCTGTTGTTTACCTGGTCTCTACGTTTGGAACTCTCTTGACAGAGAGGGAAACCTCCTTCAGGATTTATTACCTGAAAATTGTTACAAATATGTTGGGAAATCTAGCAAAACCCTGGAAGCTTTTGAAAATAATCATTTCAATTTTTTTATATTTTATAATTAGTTTAATCAATATTTGTATGCATGTTTCTTTGGTCTCCATGAGTTATTTTCAAATATTTCCATAGAGGAAACTTGTAGCAAGATTTGTTAGCTGAAAATTGCTGGTAATCATCTGGGAAATTTTAGAAAAGGATGCTGGAAGCTTTTGATATCAAATTTTCCTATCTTTTTATTCTCTTCATCTCTATGCATGCATGTTTGAAGAATGCTTGTTATTATGTTTGGTCTAATGCATGGAGTGAAGTTTTTCCATATGAGGTAAATGCATTTAAAAGATTGGGATTTTAATTTATAAAATGAGGTCATATTTGAAATAACCTTTTGTTTGTTTATTTATTATATGGTAAAAGAGATGTAAATCGTTGACTAAATAACGGGAATTTAGAATTATATCGTGGAAGTGCTTATGACAGAACTGGCTTACTGAGTGAAGTGTACGCAATTTTTTCCTCCTTTTCTTTTTTTTTTTTTTTTTTTTTTTTTGGTTGAATACTCATCTCAACTTGAGAAAGCTTGTTCCCAATTATTTGGGATCGGCTATATAAGTCTTGTTTCACCCATCTGATCTATCTAATGTCACAGTGTCAATTAAACAGCATTCTATATCAGTGTTATCAAAGGCCCAAGGCGCTAGAGGTCCTTTGGAGCCTAGGCGCAAGGCGAGGCGTGCAATTGAAAAATTAAATTACTATTAAAGCATATTCATATTCCATATTAAAGGCGAAATGTTGTCAAAGGCGCATTTGGGCACACAACAGCTGCAAGTGTTGTGCCCGTATGAACCTGGAGCCTAGGCGCACCTTTAACAATGCTATATGTTGAATGATTTGTGTAATTGGATCCATACATTTATTCTGATTCAATGCGAATGATATAGCTTACATTTGAACTACCCGAGGAAAATACCCCATTGCCTGATTTTCCAAAACTGGCCATTTTGGTACCTTTCTCTATAATGACAATAATAGTAACCATAAACTCAAAAATGAAATCAACTTCTGAACCAAGCCTGGTTTTTCTTTTTTATGAACTGTCAATCATAAGAATCATGTTTGACTTTGTTATGCAGGTGGATGGTGGTTTAGGGCCTTCAACCATAGACGTGGCAGCTTCAGCAGGAGCAAACTGCATTGTTGCAGGGAGTTCAGTGTTTGGAGCTCCTGAGCCCGCTCAAGTTATATCCCTTATGAGAAAGAGTGTGGAGGAAGCCCAGCGACTCAAATGATAAAAGAGACAGGCAAGAAACTTGATGATCAAGACTTGTAATTTCATTTACTGTATGTACATTAGCGATCTGTTTGATGTTTTTAAAATCATAAAAATAAAGCAAAATGGTATGAGTCATTGGTGTTGTTGCTCTACCATGTTATCTCTGTACTTTGACAAGCATATGCCAATTGGCTTACATGAGCAAAGGTCTAAATTGAACCATAATGTTTGGAACGTGGCTTCTTAATAAGTTACATTGCTTAGGATTTTAAGCTATCTTTTCCAGCATCCTAAAATTTTTGTTTTATTTTGCTTTGGCACCCATTGCTTCACTTTGGATATTGCAAATGCCTTGGGTTATCATGGTCAGATTAGTTATACAATATTCTCATTTCCCGGAGGAAAAAGAGAATTAAAAACAAGGGAAGATTGGAATCTTTGATGTAATTATTTATTTATTTTTTGTGTCTCTTTGGAAGAATTACCCATTCTGAAAGCTGCAGCTCAACAACCCCTTGTAGCTATTGGATTTAGGTGCACTGGTTTTGTTTTAACCTACTGCAGCACCCATTTCTTGCAGAGCTCAAACCGACAATTGGGCAAACTATCAGGGGAATCTTTGACTAATTATTTTACTGGATTAAAGAATCCCAACCATTGCCAAGATTTATGACTTGGATTGAGGACTTGTTTGACCTGATAAAACTTGAATTTCTCTTATTCATCTTGGCTTGTTTCGTCATACATGTATTGCTTTTCTGGATAACGTGACTCGTAGGACTAAATATGTATTGGTGGTAATGCCTGACCTGAATTATGGTCGAGCAAACTGAATCAGTGGCAAGGTTAGTTTGGTTTCTGAGAAGCTCGAACAAAGCCCCGTGTCGACCCCTAATCTTTCCCAAATCCCTCGAGTTGCAACATTGTGCCCTTTTGCCACCTTCCTCAATAAGATGCTTAGTGATTAGGAACATTCTCTGCACGTAGGTAATAATATTTTCTTGAAACATCTTATTGGTGACGAATGTTGTCTGGTTCAAAAATATTCATTAAGCAAATTGTCATCCCACACAACCTTGTCAGTTTTTTACTTGTTCACAATGAATTTATTTAATCTTCTGATGCGTAATGCGTGGCGCATTGTGGTTCAAAGTTACATCCTGTATCAGCAATTTTGATGCAGCAATATGGATGTTTAGTATACCATATTTGTGTGTGTGTGTGTGAATGTGAACAGATGGTATATTTGTGTGTGTGTGTGTGTGTGTGTGACTGAACATATGTAGCAGATGTCACTAGCACATATAGATCAGCAATATATGTTGTTTGGCACATGTAGGGCATTTTATTACTTAGAAAGATCTCTGTGATGGGTACTAGAAATGGGATTGATCTGTGTTTAGTTAGTTGATGTAGAATAATCTTTTATATCCATATTTTTCAGAGCTTGTAATTGTTCTTTTCCATGAACCACCCGAGAGAGACAGGCAGATCCTCGACAAAAGAAACCTTTCTTGTCAAAGAAAAAAGGTTTGTCCCGTGATTCTAAGTTTGTACTTCATACATGTATATCTGTATATAACATACAGTAGTAAAATATAGATGCACACAATTGAGTACAGTGTCAAGCACGTGTTATCACGTGCATCTTCACACCCTCCACTGCTGGATATTTGTCCATTGGTACTTCGATCCTTGGGTAGTCCATCCTTTTCAAAAAGTGCTTTTATCCCACCATCCAAACAGAGGTGAAAAATATAGCATGATACAATTATCATGACAATGAATTTTTCTTTCTTCAAATTCAATGAATTCAACACCGACCTTAAGCTCCTACATAAAGATGGTATTATAAAAAAACATGATTGATCTATTCGGTATTTGTGCTAAAATGAAAAGTTAAATGAATGCAAATTGCAAGTAAATTTACATATCTAATCCTTGTGAGCGGATCACAACATCATGGTGTTGTATTGCAGCAGACGATTATGATCTCTAACATGTATGAAGCACACTATCATTTCCTGTAATACTGTACCGTATGATACACTGCAGAGAATCCTAGGTAGTTTTTTCCTTGACTTGTTTCTAGTTTAGGAGTAATACTCATACCCATATTTTCTTAACTAATATATTTATATAGTTATGTAGCTTTTGGAAAGTATGATGTTACCCTTGTATGAGAACCTGGATTTTGAGCTTTTCCTTTTGTGCCCTTTCTGAGAAAGAAATACCATTATCCTCTGTGTTGAAAGTGATGTGAGAACAGTATTCTCATATTTGAATCCATGTTTTCACGGTTAATGACTCAAACTTCAACCATTATAAAAATCTTGACAATGGTGTATGAGTTTTTTTCCAGATCCATGAGTCCCTTTACTCGAACTCTGGTTAACATGTGAATTTTAGCTTGATAGCTCATTCTGATATTGTAAAATTGTTTCATTGTGATATGCAGGTCTCGGTTTCGAAATTTACAGTTTTTCTATGCGAAGATAAGGCTGTGTACATCTGACCTAACTCTCCGCTAATGTAAATATGTAATTAAATCATTTGATTGAAAGAAGGGACATTTTGACTAGATGAGTGACACCATTTCTGTTGGGTGAGGACACAGCATGGTAGGTTATACTTTTTGTGGTAATGGAGCTAGTCAACATAGGCTATTTGATGGGCAATCTGACCTAACCATCTTCTAGCTAGCCTCATCTTATTGCCTCAGCTTTACATTACATGGAGGTCTCGTCAACGGATATGGATATCATATCATCCTCCTTTTTTTAAGTGCACTTCCGTTACCTTCCAAATCTGTATCACTTTCTGTGCTGCCAAGCACAGAATACACACAGGCATTTGTGCATGAACGTTTGATTGTATCCGAATAACATTATTTATATTCCTTCTGTGCAGCTTTATGCCTTCATATGCTTTTCATGCTGTCCATGACCTCATTTATGAGGCTATGAATGAACTAAGACACTGTGTAGATTGTGTGTTACCATTACTGCGTGAGAGTACAGACCTGATCTCTTTTTTTTTTTCGTTTGCGCAAATTGAGTGTCTTCAGACTAGGTTATAGGAATGGATCAGTTAAGAAGAGCGACATAGTCCACATTATAATACTATAGGGGAAGAGGAAGATCAAAATTAACGTCGACTATGACTTTAGATAGAGCATAATGAAAGTATAGAATTGATGCAACCGATCCCAAGTAGTTACAAAAGATATCATGATCACTTGCAATTGAATCGAAGAGTGACGTAGTCCACATTGAGGGTAATATACTAGGAGAAAGAGGAAAACCATAGTTAGCGTGGTCTATAGCCTTAGATCAGAGCGGAATGATAACATAATATTCATGTAGCCGACCCGAGTAGTTGGGAAAAAAAAAGGCTTGTTTGTTGTTGCAAGCACATGTACAAATGGATGTTGATGTGTATAAAAGCAGGTTTGAGGTTCCAAGGAGTCCTCTGAAGTAGTTAAAAAATAGACCATGATCACTGGTTGGAGTTGAATACTTGGGGATAGATGACAACCCCTTTGGCAGTGGAATGAAGCCCAAGGTAAGAGGGGTTGCCAAAACAACTGGAAATCAGAGTAAAAACATTCATTTGTCACCCCCAAGAATTCTGTCTATGAAATGCTCTCTTTCATACACCATTTTGTATAGATCCAAAATATTCACCCACTCAAAAGTGAGAAAGCTCTTCTATTTTATTAGTTTGTCCATGTGGAATTGAGTACTACTCTCTACTCCTAGGCACAGCAACTATGACCACTAAGTTCCAACTGAGAGCTTGGGTTTTCTTCATTTTGGTAACTGTCTCTACACTTGGACAGAACTTGCTGAGCTGTGAAAATACCTCCCCTGATGCTTCTGGCTATAGTTGCAGTGGAAATGGACCTCAGAATCAATGTGGGACATTTGTGATTCTTCGAACGAATTCATACTACTCATCTCTTTTCAATTTGAGCGTTTATTTGGGGATTAACCGGTCCGTGCTTGCAGAAGCAAACGGCTTCTCTGCTGACACACAGTTTCTTGCCAAAGACCAGCCTTTGTTGATCCCAATTGATTGTCAATGCAATGGTGGTTACTTCAAGGCAGAATTGAGGAAAACTACCGTTAAAGGCGAAAGCTTTTATGGTATTGCGGAGTCTCTGGAGGGCTTAACGACTTGCAAAGCCATCCGAGAGAGGAATCCAAGTGTCTCGCCATGGGGCCTCGGAGAGAAGCTTCAGTTACTGATCCCACTGAGATGTGCCTGTCCCGGTCCATCTGAACTCGGCCAACGTACAAAATTTCTGCTGTCTTATCCTATAACTGAAGGTGATACACTTCCTATCTTGGCCTTTCAGTTCAATACTACTCCCGAAACTATAATCTCTGCCAATAATAGATCAGGTTCAAGTTTCAATCCACAAAGCTTACTACCGGTTTCAACACTTCTGATTCCAGTTAACAGTAAGCCTGTCCTTAGTTCGCTAGCCAAACCCCGTGAGCCCAGTTTTGGATTTCCATCAACTGGTGTCCCAATAATTAGTCCACACAAGAAGAAGTCGAAAATGTGGAAGATTGGAATTTATATTGCAGTGACCGGGGTCACAGTGGGAGCTGTCGTTGCAATTGCAGCAGCCTTTTTGGTGATTAAATGGAAAAGGAAGGTGCGGAGTTCGTGCAAATTGGCAGATGTGGAGCTGCAGCAGCTTAATCTAAGCGTCAGAACCATAGGCGATAAGAAAGTCTCGTTTGAGGGATCCCAAGACACTCTTGATGGCCAAATCATCGACGCCACACAACATAAGATGTTGGTGGAGATGTATTCCCTTGAGGATCTGAGGAAGGCAACAGAGGACTTCTGTTCAACTAATCTCATTGAGGAATGTGTCTTTCATGGTCGTCTCAATGGGAAGAACTTGGCAATAAAGCGCACACAGACAGAGACTATCTCAAAGATCGAGTTTGGGCTTTTTCATGATGCAACTCACCATCATCCAAACATACTTGGGCTGATAGGGACATGTTCAAATGAAGGCACTCCCGATTCATTCTTGGTTTTTGAGTATGCCAAGAATGGTTCCTTGAAGGACTGGCTTCACGGCGGATTGGCAATGAAAAGCCAATTCATCGCGTCCTGCTATTGCTTCTTGACATGGAATCAGAGGCTGAGGATCTGTCTTGATGTAGCTACTGCCTTACAGTACATGCACCAGATTATGAGCCCATGTTATGTTCACAGAAACATAAAAAGCCGGAACATCTTTTTAGACGAAGAATTCAATGCAAAGATTGGGAATTTCGGCATGGCAAGATGTGTTGAAGTTGAAAAACAAACCAAGGAATCACAATCCTACTCAAGTCATCATCATGCCTCATGGAGTAGAGGGTACTTAGCGCCCGAATATCTTCACCAGAACATGATTGCCCCGAGCATCGATATCTTTGCTTATGGTGTGGTTTTGCTAGAGGTTCTATCGGGGCAAACTCCCATTACCAGCAGCAGTGAGAAAGGAGAAGGGTGTGTTAGGCTGTCCGAGGAAATCAAGCTCATACTTCAATCAGAAAACGCGGAGGAGCTGAGGCAATGGATGGACAATGCATTGGGCGACAACTATTCATTCGATGCAGCTGTCACATTAGCCAACCTTGCAAGAGCCTGCGTAGAGGATGATCCATCCTCGAGACCAAGTGCCAGAGAAATTGTCGAGAAGTTGTCAAGATTGGTCGAAGAATTGCCAGAGGCAGAGCAATTCTCAATCTGTGAAAGCTCTTGCAAGCCTCTAGTCAAGGCTGCTGCAAATAGTATGTGAACCAAGAATCTGGATTCTCTCCACAGCAGGAGATCCTGTGCCTACAAAGTGCAACACCATGAAATAACGATGTAATGTAGTTATTGCATAAATGATGTAATCTGTTGTATAAGTGATGTGAAGGCACGAAACACAACACGGGATGAAATGGCACAGGAGAGGATTCTGGTTCGTGAATCAACCACCCATTGTACTGTTTAGAAAGATGAAGCCTTAGGCTTTTGGCATCTTGATATGAAATAGTGGAATCCTATGTATATATATATGTGTGTGTGTAATTAAGAAACCAAATACTAGACCCCCAGAAATAGCAGGTTTCTACTTTGTATTCGCTCTTTCCTTGTATGTTAATAAATCTCATGGTACTGGGTTTGTTTTTTTTGGAATTTATGGTGCCGGGTTTGTTGTGATATGCTTTGTGTTGGTATATAAATGGTACCATTTTTGCCGAAAATGTTATCATGTAGTGCGTCATTCAAGCATGTGTTGGTTCTGAATATTTCAGTCAAAGCTCAGTCATCCATGCTTTCCAAAATGTCCGTCCTTTATTTATTTTAGTTCAAAATTTCAGACTAGTCCAATTCTTGGTGACAGAAAAAAATTGAATTCTGTATTTAATTAGAAGTACTATTTCTACCACCACTAGCCATTGGTATGATTTTTTTTTTTTTTTTAAAGAAAATATTGAGAATTCGAATTCTAAATAAGACAAGTTGCAAATACAGAAATGGATGTGAAATTTTATGGAAAAAAGTCTGGATGTATACAAGATCAATCTCCACGGAAATTATAATAAAATCAATGGGTGATTCACATGTACAGACACAATACAAACAGCCTCGAAATAAAAGTCATGGTCATCATCATGAACTTGAATTCATCAAAATTTAGTACCCATTACCATTGAGATCAAGTTGAGCATCATCACTTTTCATTCATCAATGCCTCAGTGGAAATGGTCTGGCCTAGCCGTGTACAAATCAATACAATGAAAAGTTTATAATTGACAATATTGTGGTACTGTTTAAGAGATAAAAAGTGTGAAATGATGGATTCATACACTATTTTCTCCCACGAATGTCTGCAATTGTAATATGTGTTTATTCAAATAGAATCCAAATACTCTTCTGTTTTATTTTATCATGTGGCAATTTTGCACCATTGCATTGTTTATGTAACAATTACGGAGTACAATTTTTTCATGCATTTGTTGTACTAACAATATGCATGGCACGTGATCCTCTTCACAGGATGGGGTTCAAATTCTTGCTAAACATCTGTTCCGACCTTGAACAATGAACATGAAGTAGTTGCATGATTCGATGAGTTCAATTTGTTATTTTTTATTTTTTATTTTTATTCAAGCTAGCTTAGTGTCCCTTTTTATTGACCTTTCAAACGGTGTTTTTGACTTCGTAAATTTAAAAGCTAAGTGATAATTAAAACTTTATGTTTTGTTTGAGAAGAGAGATGGAAAAGTGGAAGCAATGTAGGTGAGGAAGGAAGGAATGAATGAATTTTTTTTAATTTTTCGGGAAGTAAAGGTTAATTTCATAGAATAATTAATAGTAGTATAAGATTGGTAATGGAGCTAGGGAAGGACCAAGATGTGCCTGTGATAAAAGCACTAACAAAGGTCTTCCAGTCAAAGGTGGATGGTATGGTTTGGTGGTTAGGGATTTTGAGATGTAAGTGGCCAGGGTTAGACCAGCTGCCATACCAGAAATTGGTTTTGATTTCATTACCAATTTCGAATTTGACAAGAGGTCTCATGGCAGGTCGGAGCTGCAGAAGCTTCCTCCAAGTCTATGAGCATTGGCTAGGAATAGTCACCTCCCAAATGCTCCTGTCCTTCAGTAGATATGTATTAACCCATGTGATCCATAGCATACCCGCTTTGGCTTGGATAATATTCCACAGGTGTTTCAATATAGCTGTTCTGTTCCAAGAATGTAGAGAAGGAATTCCAAGGCCACCAGCCCTTAAAGGTAGACAAATATTGTAGGGCCAAGTGACCTTTGCCCCATGCTTCTTTAGCTCTGGACTTGACCATAGGAATGCTCTAAATATACATGCGAGCTCATTGATGATGGACATTGGGAGAATGAAGCTCCAATAGATTTGTGTACTGTGGAGAGTGGATTTGATAAGCTGTAGTCTACCTGCAAAGGAGAGAAATGAATGTTGTACCTATAGGGATGTTTATATATATATATATATATATATTTTTTTTTTAAAAATAGATGTTATTTGTGATGTTTGTATCTATTAGTGTGTGTGGTGTAATTTAAATGAAAAAGAAAAAAGAAAAGAAAAGTTAATGAGTGGGACCCACAAGCATTTAAATGGTCATGAGACCATCTTTGCTTTCATTTTTTTTTTTTCTCATTCCCGTAAGGTTATCTCTCTCGTCCAAAACTCCTCCTTTTTTTTTTTTTTTCTTTTTTGGTTCCAATCTTCAAGCTTTGATTCCATCTTCATTACTTGCCGGATTTAGGTGCCGTTTGAGGCAAAACGACGAGTGTGACGAGCTCTACGTTCTAGTACCAGCAATTCCAATTTTGCTACCTTCCTTGGAGCTAAAAAATTTAAACCCATTTCTAGGGTTTTGCCTATTTTGAGGTAGGGGCATCTTAATCCACTCTAGTCTTGTTCTATTGTGAATTTTACCTCCATGTTGGATTAAATATGCTTAATTTAGAGTTAATTATATCTATGATGGTATTAATGATGTCTAGAGGGTTTTCACGATCTTGAATATGGTTGGTTCATGTGCAAATTATATTTAGTTGTTGATTTCCTATGTTTACTATGTGCTAGCATGCTGAAATTGATGTATGAGAGTATGCTTATTTAAATTGCGCCAAATTTCCCAATTCATGATGTTGAGCTCATATATATATATACATGCACATGCTTAAATGTATTTTATTGTATCTTAATGTGTTAATAATTATTTGGGAGATGTTAAACATGTTGAATGTTTAATTTTATGATGGAAAATTTTAAATGCCATGACATTGAATGTATGGAACATTTATACATGCACATACCATTGGGTTTGCATGAAATGGGAGAAATTGTTCTTGAAAAAAATATGGGGAATTTCAGAGAAGTGTTTTTGATAAAATGGTTTTATGCGAAACCCGGTCGCTGCGGGATTACCAACGGGCCGGAGGTTAATATAGCCTAGAGGGGACTAGGGAGTCGCCCTAGCGTGGTTGAGCTAGTTGGGGCCCATAATGACGCCGCGGGGTTACCAAGGGTCAGGGACACTAGCCAATCCTCCTTTCGTGTCGCGGCGAGGTTACCAAAGGGCGGGCTGTATTAACGTTTGAAAGTGATGATTTTGAGAATGAAAATGGGGAGTGTCATGCATTGCATGTCATTTCATTGCATTGCATCGTTTATACTTGGAATTGACTTGTATGTTGTATTTGATCCCCTACGTTGTATGATCCCTATCTCCCATTGGCCTATGCTTTGCTTGAATTCACAAGGACACAAGATTTGTGTCTTAAGTGTCACCTACTGAGCATATAGCTCACCCTACTATTTATACATTTTTTTCAGGTCTTGGAAAAGAATCGGTGGACGACAACCCACCTCAAGCTTGAGCGATACTAGAAGCTTACTTTTGTGTCTTTTGTATATTTCCCATTATTTTTGCAAAGCACTAAAAGTATAAAGGTATATATGTATATTTTGCAAAACTTTGTCATGTAACCTTGTTGATGAATGGGAAGGATAATTTTAGTTAAAGTAATTATCGGTGTTATTTGATTGTGTATGATCATATACTGTTGCCGTGAATTCGGAATTTGAGCCATGATAGGTTAAAAATGAATTTAAACAGGGTATGGTAGGCCTATTTTTAGGGGAGGTTATGCCGAATTTTTTGTAAAATTCTTGGCATCAGCTAGGGTCGTTACAAATTTGGTATCAGAGCAAAGGTTCGAAAACCTTTAGGACGACGGGTAGAGGCCTACATAGAGTCGCATGGAATGTTGTTTGTGTTGCTTACTTGATTACTTGCTACGTGGTATCTTATTTAAATGAGCATGCTTAACTGCCTATGTGCTTACTTGCTTACTTGTTTACGTTAAAATGTTTCTTGCATAGTCTTACATGCTAAGTGTTGTACGGTATTAATTCTTGTTGAGTCATCCACAGTGGACCTTAGTGTCATGTTTCTGAATCATTTTCTCGTTTTATAGCACGATGTCACGGCGTGAGGAACCTAGAGAAGTTGGCCCTAGAGCAACAAGGGGTGATGTTGGTGAGAGCTTTAGCTCCAATTCGGCGGAGCCAGTTGATGAGAACATGCTTCTTAGGGACTTGATTCCCCCAAGAGCTGTTCCCCCAAGAAGAGAGAATGTTGAAACACCCGTACCCGTAGAAGTGGGTGAAGGTTCTGTGGCACTGGAGTTTAATCGTTTGTTGCAAAATGTCGTGAGGGCAACGATTGTTGCTCAGCCGCAGTTGGTACCACAACCTACAGTTCGAGTTGAGGAGACTCCAGCTCAGAAGCGTCTCAAGATCATTAAGGGGTTTTCTCAGCTGATGCCGGTTATGTTTGAGGGCGGTGCGGATCCAATGGTAGTCGACAACTACATGGATCAAGTCGAAACTCAGTTGACCTCAATGGATGTGACAGAGGATCACTTGAAGATCATCCTAGCAACTTACAAGTTTACTATGGATGCCAAGGTTTGGTGGAAGTCGATCACTAACCAGTATAAGATTGACGAGATGAGTTGGGACAGGTTCAAGGAACTGTTCTATGAAAAGTACGTTCCGCTTTCCAAAAGATGGGAGTTACAAGACCAGTTTCATAATCTTTTTCAAGGGAACATGTCAGTGGCGGAGTATGAGAACAAGTTCACCTCACTCTCCCGTTTTGCTCCAGAAGTGGTGAGAGATGAAGCTAACAAGACTCGGAAGTTTGTCTCAGGTCTTAATGATCGAATGAGGCCGTTGATCACGGCACAGTTTATTAAGGTTTACTCTGAAGCAGTGGAAAGGGCTTTGATGCTGGAGGCTGATAATAGAGAGAAGGATGCAAGAAGAGATCAATTGAAGCAAAAGAGGGGTGCAGGGCCATCCTCAGAGGGATCTTCTTGGAAAAGGAACAGGGGCAGTCCATCTCAGTTTCAGGGGCAACAGTCTACAAGATCTGCTCCTACCACTCCTATGCCAGCTGGATCTGACAGGAGTGCAGTTGTTTGTTATCAGTGTCAGCAGCCCAGACATTCCAAGTCCAGTTGTCCGATGAGATCGTCTTCAGTTTCGTCAGCTCCGAAGGCTTGTTATGGGTGTGGCCAGCAGGGTCACTTGATTCGTGATTGTCCGAGTTAGAGAGCAGGCACCATTAGTGGCAGAGGGTCACAGCAGAGGCCGTCACAATCGGCTACAGTTCAGTCAGGTTTCAGACCACCACCACCATAGTCTACTATGTCTTCACAGGGTTCACGATCAGTTAGGAGGGATACTCCTACTATGTCAGTGCAGCAGTCAGGTGTTCAGGTTGGCAGTCCTCAGGCACAGGTACCACAGGGACATGTTTTTGCACTGGCACAGACTGATGCATCTTCTGGACCGTCAGTCCTTCGAGGTATATTTCCAGTGTTTGGTTGTTGGGCCCGTGTTTTATTTGACTCTGGTGCATCTCATTCTTTCATTTCATCATCATTTGCACTTGCATCGGGGTTGGAAGTTAGTTTCTTGGAACGCGCGTTGAGTGTTGAT